AAAAAAAAAAATGTATCTATATTTAAATAAGTAATACAAACAAATTGTTTATTTACATAATATTAAAATTTGTCATCCGGTTGTTGATCATTTTTGGCTAACAAAAAAATTATTCAGTTTTCACATGATTTGCTAAAAATTTTATCCCATAATTTTTAAGCAAGAAAGATCATTCTATATAAGTGCAATATCACCCTATGGGTGGGTGGGTGGCTCGTCACGTTATTGTTATGACTTGAAATGATTGACATGTCATGATAGGTTAACGTTAACTTAACGTTAACATAAGATTAGTTTTTGAGTGATTTCCATTTTAAGATGCTGATCCCCCATCTTTGGTATTGATTTGCTGATTATATAAATACATTTCAAATCAAGCTTTTCTATTTTAGTACGATCGGCAACTAACAAATCTTTTAGTGTTTTAAAAATTGCTGAGAATCGATTCTCGAGAATCGATTTTACTATGTTTTGTCGATTTTCGATTAATCGATTCCAATCCCTAATTTGTTTACCGACGTCAACTTTTTAATTGTTGTTATTTCCAGTAAATTTTTTTTGTAGGCGCATGTTATCAAACGTGCTAAATTGTTTGAAATATTCATAAAAAATTCATCCAACTAATCTTGTTTAAGAAATTTACAAAAAAGTGTTTTTTTTATTTTTTATTTTTTTTTTAGGATTAGCATCGCATCTTTATGTACGGATAAGTACAAAAGTACAGGACTCGTATTGAAAAAAATACATAGAGGTAACGTCAGACAACGAAAACCCTATAAGCTAACCAGTCTACAAAGAATAAACACCAGAAGTCATCCTATAATTATATACATAAAAGCTAGAAAAAAAAAACAATTAGCTAAAAAACAAATTACCCCTCTCTGCTCTTCCTACCCCTCGTCAACTTTCTAGGGAATTTACACGAGCCCTTTGTGCAGACGCCCATAAGGACCCCGAGCAATACTGAAATAGGTAACAAGAAATAAACGCGTAGAATAGGCCCAACTTATTCCCTCGTACTTGGACTCCTGAATTCGTCAACATATTGCTAAAAAAGTCTTGCATTCTATTTGAAGAAACTTATAATAATATTCTATTCAATTCTGATTGGCGTGTAGTGGATCTAAAGGTTCTATTTCATAGATCAAGATCTGAAGATGGAAAATATCAACCGTAAGAGATTTTTTTAATAGAGCCTGTTGAGATATTTGAACAAATGTTTCAGAAAAGAAGCACAATAAATTACTTACAAGGATAATTAGTTAATAATCTATTTTTACAATATATACTTGTAACAATTTAAAGTGAATAGATAAAACTCAGAATTGCGCCTCATTTAAAGACACACGACTTTCAAACGCATGATATTTTACTGCGACATTTGTCAACATTTTTTTCATCACGTGAAGTATCATCATTATTTTTTAAATTAATTCAGTATTAAATTACACGAAAATTAAAAATTTTATTGATGAAAGAAAAATTATTGGAATGAAATAAAATGCAATATAAAAATTTAATAACTAAATTTTTTTTTTTATGAAATTTTTTATTATTTTATTGAAAAAACGATGTACACGAAAAAAAATAAATAAATAAAAATGTAATAAACGCAAAATTCTCTATTAATAAAAATAAAATCTGCACATAATTGATATTTCTATTTTTGTAATTACTGTATTTTTATTATAGTAGTCATGAGTTTCAAAAAATATAGGACTGTTTTACTAATAAGTCAACTAATATTATTTTTACCATTTTTAATAATATCATATCATACATTCTTTGTATTTCTATATTTATAATGGGAATTTAATCATCTGCTTGTTGAAGTTGTTAATAAAGAATCAAGAGATTCCTTCAATGATAAATTAAAAACAGCTGAAAAATTATTGAAAGAGTGTTATAATTTTTGATGGCTAAATTTAACATACTGTACTAATTATAATAATGTGTTTACTTTATTACCTTGATAAAATTGACTTACAATCTTAGCATAAAAAAAATATTAAAATTGTTAGAAATGTTAAAATTGTGTTAAATTAAATTGTATTAACTAATTATTTATGAAAATATAAAATCACTTTAAGAAAGTATGACGTTAGGAAATCTAAGTTATAATTAACTCTTAACTCGGTAAACATCTGTACTTTTATGATCTGATTTTTTTTCGTATATGGTTTTATTATAAATAAAATGATGTGAGATTTATCTAAAGTATGTTTGTCTAATTAATAAAATTATTTGCAATTCTTAAATAATTTCCTGAAGGAAATAAGATTGTTAAGGTTAAAAAAATGTCGAATTATTTAATATTGTATCTATAGTAATATTGTATGGAATCATAAAAAAGCTCCATCCAGTCTTATATAAATAAGATTGATTTTGTAAAAAAAAAAAGAATTTAATGTTAAATTTATTTATGTTTTTGTATTTTTTTTTTCAATTAAATTTAAAATAATAATATAATTTATTTATGAAATTTCTTATCATAATTACCTGGAATAGGGCGCTACTCAGCTGCAAAAAATAAAAATAAAAATTAAATGTAATTTGTCCTTTTTTTAGTTACATTATTTTTCTCGGATATAATCTGAATATGATAATATGTCGTAAATTATGAGAATTACGTAAACAAATAATTTATTGATTCGACAATGAGAAATTAACTCACACTAGCGATACAGTAGTCGTGTCACATAGTAAGGATCATGGTATCCATTATAAAAATTTTTTTTCACTAATAAAATCTGTGGTCACTTATACTTTTCATGGGCCTTTACCTAAGTTTATGAACTCAAGAGAGCTATCAAAGAGAATACGTTCGATATGGAGAACTCATTATGAATTTCCATTGAAGGAGAATAATTATTTATTTATTGTCGTCTACCACAAAATTTTTTACAGACACGACGATACCCTAGTACATTAGTACATTTGAATCATTTTATTTATTAATTATCATTTACTATACACATGGTAATTCACATACAGTATATATTTGGTTGTTAATTTCCTTTTTTACATTTACTCGGTACAATTAGTTCAAATAGCAATTTTATATAAATTGTACTGTTCCAATTTATTTGAAAAATATAAATAATATAAATTTGATGTCAAGATATTGGGCCTTCGAAATCATGATGCATTGAAATTTTGTCGCCGAAAACGGCACTTAACAAATAATATGTATAGTTTATTAAAAGTGTACATCATGAAGAAATTAAGCTATAAAATAAGCTCAAAAAATTTTAAATGGAAACTTAAATAAGATCAGAAAATTATTAAAGTGTTCTTTAAAGGCCCCAAATGCTATTTTTCAACGTCAGTATCTTATTTCAAACAAAAAATATGAACATTCATTGTCAATATAATTATATTATAACTAGAGTAAATTATTATGTTGTGTTGAAAATTTATATATTGATTAAGAGTAATAATCTATTAAACAAGAACAGCTATATCAAGAAAATTTTTATATATGTGCACTGAACATCTCGCACCGACCTGTATAAACATTTGAAAGAAAAACAATGCTTCAACAACGTGTAACGTATATTTGTTGCGCCACATTATCGCTTGACACTTTCAACACATCTGTAATACTTGAGCATCTTCATTTTGTTTAATATTTGCCCGAACTATAAGGACTATACGTGCGAGAGTAGGTATTGCAGTGAGTTCCTCGATAACTTTAGAGTTTTTGACAGTTGTCTTTGTTAGAAGGGTCCAAAAATAACTAACCCCTTGTTTATTTTGCGATGACTGCAATGATACAGAACGTCCTCACCTAGTGTTTATATGCAAAAAAGAGGAATACACTACAGATGGGAAACAAAAAGCTCATGTATATTATGTCAAATAATTGTGAAATAGCATAGTCCCTGTAAAAGATTCGATCCGTTTTTATATTCCGTCTTTTTTTCCCGTAAAAGGCTCGGAATTAATAGCCTTATATCACGGATTTTATCAAATTATTTACATTTCCGTGAATGGATCCGGGATAAGGCTCATTTTTACGGAGTTTTTACAGAAATAGTGGATAAAATTTTATAGGGAGTGCAAGTATGCAAGTTAACAGTTAGTTTTTTGTTATAATATCACATCATATAGTAGTAATACGTTCTCTCATATGAAATTTTCGTAAGTAATAATTTTTTATCCACAAATGTCTATATACAACATGGTCCCATAGCTTTATTAATAAAATTACAAGACTGATATGTACAGTACATGAAAAAGAATTTATACTAATGTAAATATTATAAAGGCTATTGTTGCTTTCTCACTCCATGTTACAATAAAATGGATAATAATATATTTGGCTCATCTACTGTATATTTTGATATGCTTCATGGAGTTTCATCTTTAATAATATGTAAACCGGGTTGTAGGCAAGATTAAGTTATCAGAAGTTGAATGTTAAAAATAATGACCACGAGCAAAAGATTAGACTGTCCATCTTTTTTCCTTCCTTTTCTACTTTAACTCAAAAATTGGCGCAAAAATAGAAGAACCACCTTTACTGTAAACATCAAGTAATCTGGTTACCGCAACTGTAGCAAGAGCAGTTGTAAATTTTGTTTGCAAAAGATTGCTACTTAATAGATATCCATTCCCAACGGCTTGAACTAAAATTGCACAAATAAAAAACAAAAGCGTTAAGAATCGTTGAATGTAATATAAATACGATGGGTCGATATATTTATTGACAAGACTTAATATCCATGCAACAATAATGCAGGTTATGTTTATAAACCTCAATATTCTATCAATCTCGCAATGACCATACGGATACATATTGCAAAATTCATCGTAGGAACCGATATCTAAATTTGGATTAACCGTGCAAAATAATATGTTAAGAATCAAAATCAATCTATATTTATTAATTTTATCCCGGATTTGTAATAAAAGTCCCGCATTTGTTTCTCGAAAATGAAATAAAAGTACGTAAAATAAAAAAATGATAGATAAAATTAATCCGATTAGCCCAAGAGCTTTGCTAGTCCCATCTTCATAATCCCACCATGCAAAGAACAAATAAATATTAAGTGCGTGCAGCGAACCAATAATTATAATATCATCCACCGCTTCTATTTTTTTTCCTCTATTTCCATTTGCGCCATTGACATTCCCATTTGCTGCTTGTTCACTAAGCCGAGTAGCTATAACAACTACTCCAATTGCGGTGATGAAATCTCCCCAAAAATCGTTAAACGGATCATAGTCTGTCATTGTATTTTTTTTTTGAAAATTGACAAAATAATTTTTGTGAAAAAAATGAGAAATTATTCAATTTTTTTACTTGGATACCGAGATGTGAACAGATTCTTAATTTTGATTATTTATATATTGCGGATATCATAAAATAATTATGCGGGTGGATGTCATTTGTACTTCCAATCGCATGACAATTACGCGAGTGTCACTTATTTTTCCAAACGTATAAACTGAATCCATTAATCTAGATAAAAAAATTATGCTTTCAATCTTCCAAGTGTATATCATACCACTAATCAAACTAGAAATAGTGATCACATATTTATTCACACCACTTATTTTGTTCTAAAAATTTGTAATTGCACAGAAAAATGAATAATTAGTTATTCAATTTGTTCAGATAAAGACATCATGATCATTGCAGCAATAATCGTACTACCTTAACATATAATACAGGGTGACGAATGTGGTCAGGATATCTTCTGTGGCATAATAACGTGATATACGACAGCCACATGTTGTGTAATATGCAAAATTACTGTTTAAGGGAAGACTTAATTGCAATAGCAATGATAAAATAGGATAAACTAAATGAAACAGAAAATAGCATGATTTCGCATACCACCACCTCATATTATTATTTTGTTTATTCAATTATAGTTCGTCATATTTGATTTACTTAACAAGATAGTTTGGCTTCATCCGCTAAATAATTTTTATAATAACTGGACGAAAAAGATTGTGCACTACTTCGTTACTTTCCGGGCAGAATGTTTACACAAATAAGAATAAGAAACACCCAACATCATGAGATATACATCTGGGAGGCGTGAACGCCGTTTATGATTCCAACTGAAGCTGTTCAATAAAATTCACACTGAATCAGCAGGTATTTGATCTAAAAAAAGTAAACATAAGGTTTTTATGTTCTTTTGTCTACTAAATGGCGTATCATCACGCATAAAAGGGTGAAATAATACCTTATAAGAACAAACAATTAGTAATACACACAGAGATTATTCGGAATAAAATCTCTGACGTAGATATTTTTATCTTACAGACTAGGTCGCACAAGCATATTAATGATCACAAGAATAATGAAAACAAGCAAACATGACCCGAGGTTACAGTCTCGTAGTTGATGGATTCGTGTGATGTACCTCAAGAACTATACTCATAATCTGTAGTTATTATATCCCATTATACTATCATACACTTTTGTTAAAAGTATGTCGTATTTATTCTTAACATACTCCAATTATCCATTCATCGCAGTTCAGTGATATTCTTACATTAGAGTAATTTATGAAACGTTTCATTGATTCCAGCATCATTATGAGGTTTAGAAACATTTAAGCAAATACTGTATCCTCCTATTTTCTCTTTCGTTCAATATTCAAAATTGGCATACTAGAAGAAATATAGTATTAAACTGATTCGAAAAAGTTTGTACTTCAATTTATGTCTTGTTGAACGTCAAAAAGGACAAGAAAATATCAAGATTAACTAAGTCCGCATTGGCTTAGAACGGGTAACAGTTAATTTAAGGTGATTTTAGTTATCAAGTCAAATTAATTTAGGACATAATCACGTTTGTGCTACAACAAATATAATAAAAAAGTATTATTTCATTGTATTTTATGATAATTATTTGCATGACATTTAAATCCACTATTTAAGTAAATTTTTATTATTTAGATTGAAGGGATAATGATTAAAGGTCTTTCGGGATAGTAAATCTTATCGTTATTTTTATACTTTTTGATAATAATCATACTTTATTATTTGACTTGTAAATATTTAATTTTAAATTCTATGAAAAAATAAAGTATTGACTATCAACCCGAATTTTAAATTTCTTACAACGTAAAAAACGCTAACGCTAACATCAAAGTTCTACATAAAGCAATATGTTCTACATTCGATGACATAAAGTAACTTTATCAAAATTATGCATATTAGTAGAGTATGTATAAACTGACAAACCCTTTTTTATATCGTGCATCATAGAGATGCGATACGAAGTCCGTCTATCTGGTGTAAGACTAACGCCCGTGATAGATCACATTGCCACCGCAGTCTTAACACAAAAGATACTTTATTAATAATATAAATAAATACAATTGTATGCTTGGTTCATAATAACTAAATAAAAATAAAAATTAAATTTTCTAAATTTATAAATTTTTCCATTTTAAATCACTCAATTTTAAATTTATCAACTTTGATCTTAGCGAACCTTTTTCTCAGAACCACATTTTCTGACAAAATATTATTTTCAGCCATCAAAAATTATGAACTTTACGAAATTCCTTTTTTTCGATCTTCATCTACTTAAAATATCAGTTTCCATTACATATGAATCAGTTTATCCTCGTGGCTCATGATCCAGGAGGGTTTCACTAAAATATTCAACATATTTAATACTACGCCCCACAATTACCAAATTCACTAATTACAGCTGTTTTCATAAGACCTGGGACAAAATAAATTTTTGAACCCGACCGCTGACCCACCGATCCGGTTCAGTTGTTATTTATTTTACAAATCAAAACAATCAAATCTGGATCACGTGCCCAGCTAAAAATACCGGATCGGCGAATCGGTGGATCGGGTTCAAAAATTTAGTTTGTCCCAGGTCTTATGAAAACAGCTGTAAGTCACGGCATTACACCGGTAATCGGGATAATCCGCCTTAAATCAGAGATAACGGATAATTTCTGGATGCATTATCCGTCAGGATAAATCCAATTAGATAATCCAACAATAAATCAATAATACTAACTACTATTTAAAAAGTTGCAACGTCGGAGGCACGTGATTTTTAATGCCGGTCAGCACTACCAATTTCGCCAACACTATGATTAACTTGGACAATACATTTTAACACATGTTTTCAACCCGTGTCAGATTAACAGCTACAATTTTTGATAATCAAGTTGATTTTTATGATAGAACATTTACCACCATCACATTTTGGAAATAAAGAGAATACAAATATTTAAATATGAAAATTAGTACGCCATTACTGGAAGTGTGTAAGAATAGAGATATACAATGCTTTGAATATAGAATATAATAAAGATAAAGATAAAGTTTAATTCTTCAAAATATCTGAAAACTTTAAAAGTCAAAATGAAATTATTTAAAGGTATTTTATATAATAAATAAAGGATTTTTTTTTATGATATTTGTTTAGAAGTTATATTTAAACAGGATCTTTATTCTTTCAATTATGACCTTCAAAAAAAAATTATTATAGAGAACAACTATTTATAAAAAGTGTTAGATTAACTTTTTAGAAATCATTATATATTTAGTATTAATTCTTTGTTTTATTTTCTTTGCAAAGATAATTTTAAGGTCATTTACATAATTTCACCTATGACAGTATTTACGGGTAACACATTGATGAAAGACAAATACGGCTACTTAGGAAGTGCTTATTAAGGTGGTGCACGAGGAGGTGATGAATAAGGTTGGCACGTCGAAGCAGTGATGGCAAATGACTAGGTCATTTGCCCATTTTGAGATGACCTCCAAATGACCTTCGAATGACCTAGTCATTTAGGTCATTCGTCATTTGAGTCATTTAAAATTAATGCTTTATAATTCAGGCCAAGTTAATGATGCCGGCCAGAATTATGAACTTCTAATATCATGTGAAATTTTATCCATGAAATAGTGAAATTGTATGAATAGTTCTGGCCAGAATTATGATGTAATTTTTAAATGACTATGTCATTTGTCATTTAATGTTGAAATGACCCAAATGACACGTGACCAGTCATTTGAGTCATTTGAGGTCATTTGGGTCACTGGCCAACACTGCGTCGAAGTTGAATTAAAACTTAGTCGGATGGGAGCGCTACATCGGAGATATATTAGCCACTAATTTACTATTAATTTAATTAGTCTTTAATGTACTTCGTACAATATGGTTTTGATATTTTCTTTTGAAATTGTATTATTTCTGTATCCTTGTCTAATAAAAAATAAATAAATAAAATAAAAAGTAAAATAAACGATCAATTGATAGATAAACCAAAATTGAATAATAAATTTTTTTTAATGAAAAAACAAAAAAAAAAGTGATTTTTTTTCTAGCTTCTAAAGAAAAAAAATAATTCTTTTCTAAGAAACAAAAAATACTTTTTTTCTTATTTTCTAATAAAGAAACGAAAAAATATACCTCTTTTAATAAAGAAATGAAAGAAAAAATGTTTTTTTAATAAAGAAACAAAAAAAATAACTTTTTCCTAATTTTTTAATAAAAAAAAAAAAAAAGAAAAGAAATACCTTTATTCTAACTTACTAATAATGAAACGAAAAAAAAATACTTTTCTCTTATTTTCAACTAGGGTAATTCGCGTTCATAATATCTGGTGAATACTAACCGAAATTATAATTCCGAACCTAAAAAAAATGCATACAGCTAATAGTAGAACTTTCAGGATTCTTCATAATTATTGCATTATTTTAAATCATTAAATGCATTATAATATAATATTATTTATCCCACGGTTTCTAGTTAAAGTTTGTGATTTTTTTTCTTAATATTCTCACGGTGGTGTTCATATAAAAAGATGGGTAAAAGTCTATCAATACTGGTATAAAAGTCTCACGGCTGCGCCGTGAAAATCATTTGATATTGTCATGTGATCATCATGTGCCACTCCGAAATTGCAAATTATGAGGCGCCATGCTGTTCAAAAGTCTGATCATAATCAAAAACTAACCTGATCAAATTTTTCTATAATGCCTGTATTTTTTGATAAACAGAACTGAATGAGCTTTTCTCACCCCTGCTTTATTTTTTCATTGTTAACTTTATCTAATTATTATCATGAATCCATGATTGTTTAATGTTTATTCTATTACTCAAAGCAAAGTACATAGAGTTCATAAATGCTATTTAGAACATCAATTAAATTGAGGTTATGACGTTAGGAATATTTAAGTTATATAAACATCTGTGCTTTTATGATCTGATTTTCTTGTATACAGGTTTGTAA